AATCATTCATTTTTGTATATGAGAGACATTATAATGTTAAATATTACTCGCTTTATAAATAAAACTGATTTTCTTTCAAGTTTTAAAAATAATTTTACAAAATAATTTTAAAAATATTTATCCAAAATACGAGTATATCTTCAAGTCATAAGAGAGTACATCACATTTATTTGTCTCGTAGGTATCGTTATCGCACACTCGCTTGTGTGAAAAAGGCTAGAAATTTTTTATATACGAATAAAGGCGGATAAATTTTATGCTAAAAGGAGACCTAAACCAGTAACAAAGAATAGCGTTAAAGGTGTGAGTCGTTTGTTTCTGACGTTGTAATCACCATTTCCAAGCCAAACAATTACGGGAAATTCTCCCTACAATATTTGTAGTACCAAAACGCAGCTTGTCAATATCAGAATACTCACGCCTCTCATTTCCCGGTCGCCATCTCACTAATGCTTACTAAAAAACGCTTACGTGAGATCTCGTCACCAAGGCTACAAAGATTAAAACAATTGGTAAAATATAACATTGAATTTAAAAACCTACAAAGGAAATTTATGTACATAGGGGATTTATTATCGCGCGCATACCAGGATTGTAGTTACATAGTGATTCTTATATGTGTTGGAAAGCTCACAAGATGGAGAGTTGTCAATATTTACTGAATATATTCAGAAGGGCTGGTCTAATAAAAATAATATCCCCGATATTGTAAATTCTTATCACAAACTAAAGGTGAACTCAGTGTAGAACAGACACTAGTATTATTTAATGACAGGCTTATTATACGTTTGAGTTTGAGATTAGATTTTATGAAACAATTACATGAGGGGAATTTAGACATGACCAAAATGAAACAACTGGCACCGAGGCTCTTACTTACTGGCCTCAAATGGATAGTTATATTGATGAATTTCTTAGAAAATGTTTACCTGTCAAACATATCAGTATAATAATATTAAGTAGCCGCTATTATCACATGACATTCCTAGATGGCCATTTGGAAAACGTGGTATTGATATAATCGACTTCAGAAGTAAGAGCTATCTTGTACTTTAAGATTACTTGTCTAAACGGTTGGACATAAAATTATTAAGTATTAAAAGTGCCAAAGCGGTATTCAATGTTCTGATAGACGTGTTTTGTAATTTTGGCATACCAGGTGAAATAATTTCAGATCATGTACCATTTGACTCCAGGGAATGTAAAAAATTTGCATCATCTTGAGGATTCAAATTCACTTACACTAGTCCGAGATATGCACAGGCAAACGGTATGGCTGAACGTGGTATTCAGATAGCTGAAAAAATGTTGTTAAAATGTCACGAGGACAAGACTGTTCACACATACAATCATAATTATTTAAAACCAAAAATGTTCGCCAATAATTGGATAACACAGTTAATGGTAATATAAGAAATTACAATAAGACTGCTAGATTTAAAAAGCCTTTTGATATTGGATAAAATGTTTGGTTCATGAAAGATATTGATAAAAATGTATGGCTAGAAGGTAAGATCGTCAACTATAATGATTTCAGGTCTTATACGATTTTATATAAAATAATGTAAATTACACAAGAACCACTTTTCATATTCGACTAGCTTAGCTCGGACTTGATTTACCATCGGTGAAGGCGCACCACTCAGGGTTCAGGTTGAATGTGTAGCTTTAGTGAGCTAAATTGCTTTTTTTTATATATAACAAGGGATGATAAGTGGATAATTTAGTTATTATGTAAAATATGAAAACACATTTGTACAAAAGTTGAGTACATGAAAATTGGTAATTCAAATTTGTGTTTCGATTTGGTTACTGTATAACTTGTAAAATTTGAGTGGTATAATTTTACATTTTTTTAATTGTAAACAAGAAAAAAGTTTCTAAAGAAAGGGGATGACGTAGTATCAAACTCAGCTTGTCTATGTCAGAATACTTACCACTCTCATTCCCCGGTCGCCATCTCGCTCTCTTACAATTGAACTGACAGAACATTGTAGTCTGCGATATTTAATTTTAATAAAAAACAAGTGTAAGAAACTTCATAAATAAACTAATGTGATCTAAACAATAATCTTTTATTTACTATAACATAACTTGGATCACTCTTTTTGACTTTAATAGGCTGATAAAAATAAACAATGAAATGGCAAAACTGCACTGCGAAATCATTGGAAGTACGCAAAAATAAATTTATTATTTTGAAAGTTAATTTATTACGACGTTGACCTTGAAATCAAAGGGTGAGATCTCTTTCCCGACACGGAATTCAACCCGAGTAACGGCCAACGTTCAACAGGCGATGTAACGAACGTGATTTAAAGGCTTCGGTTTGTTTTATTTTTTTATAACGCTACGACAGTGGTACTACAAGACAGTAATTTAATTTAAGCTTTAACAAGTATTAAGATTGTGAACATAAAAATGTACTTGTCATGTCTCTACTATTTGATTAAAAAATGACCCATGTACTGTTGTTTAATTTAAAAAAAAATTCTATTTCATAAAGAATATGATCCTTTACATGTGGCAGATCAACGTTGCAGTTTTCTTTTTTTTTTCAGATGTTACTGATGTTAGTAAGTTGGCTATTACAGCTTTATGCTTGCCTCGTTGGCTATGTGGTCATAAGAGCAAATGCGATTACATCTTGGGTTAAAAAAATTTACTTGTTGGACTATTCTGTCAACAAAGTATCAGCAGCATATCACTGTGAATAATTGTGTGATATTTCAACCCCGTGCCTCGGAAAGCACGAAAAACCATTGCGTTGTTTTGGTACGGCGCCTGATTTCTCTGCGACCGTGTCGAATTGTCGTCCTATCATGAAATGTGTGCTTGTTTGTCTGCCTTACCTACTTCGATAAAAAAGAATCTTCGAGAGCAGAAGCAGACTGCAGAATATGAGAAGCTCCAATAAAATCACTGCTGGTAGAAAACGATTTTTATTATTATAATCAGTCGTTATTTTGCCTAAATCCATTATTGTTAAAGGTTCATTAGCTATGAGTCTATCTTAGCTGGTTTGAAGTCAATGATCTCTCAGTTTAAAAGTTAGCGGCTAGCGAACGAAGAAGATATATATAGTAAAAAGTTCCAAACTCTAAAGAACCACATTAGCAAAAATAAAATCAGCAACAACGCTGGGATCGCCGGCGAGAAGCAAAGCCCAAGGGTATGATGAAAAAAAAAACCGCATCCTATCCCAATTCGCTCACCTATAGTGCCAAATACGGTGACAGTCCGCTGAATGCAACCGCGACCTTAGTGTGAGGCAACACACTACGGGCAAGACAATGGTCCGACGAGCCTAGAGGGGCTCCACGGAAACCTGATATTCGTCCGGATGAAAGGTCAGCAGATGATCTTAAAAGGAAGGTACATGATCTTCCACATCTGGGATCCACGTAGGTGAAGTAGCCTGCTGTAATAGATCATATGCCAAGGCAAAGTCATAAATAGATCTTCCCGCATGATCGGTTAAACAACAATTGAACCATTCAGCGTGGTGGGCGTTAAAATCACCAAGGATCAGGATCTATGCAGATGGGATCTGCTGTAGCAAATAATCTGTAACCATTTGGACGTAGTCGATGAGCAGGTCTGTTTCGACATTACTATATTAGAATCTATAGAGGCACCCGTGGATGCGGGGACGGTCATCGCTGTCTACACGCAGCAATAGGATGTACATACATTCAAGACTGCCGAGGCGTCGAAAACAAATGTCTTCTCTGACGTTTACGCAAACTCCAGCCCGCGGTACAAGGGAGTGTTCTAATTTGTAACCCGGGTAGGAGAGATATGAAATATCAGCCGGAGAGGACCCAGACAAAGTTAAATTGCTTACAGTTAAGCAACTCCTGTGTAATAAAACTTTAGAATGTATCAAATTTCATAGTTAGATTCACTCATTTTGGCGGGCAGAAAAAACCATTGAAAAATGGCGGGAAAGTGATTGCTACTTCATATTTTTCTTTTTCTGAATGTGCTATATATATTGATATTAAAATCAGCCAAATACCAACAGTACAATCGAAGAGATTTTTGTTCAATTTTATACAAACAAAATACCTACGAAGAAACTTTTTTCCCAACTTTATTATACAAATAACAATAAACGAGAAATTAAAAAAAAAAAAACAAACAAACAAGAATGACTATTTACGAAGAATTTTGGCTGTAGCGTCTAATTTCGCAACTATATCCTACATAGTCGTATTTTTTGAACATGGGTGTAGTACTCTAGCAAAGGTTTCTGATTAAACATAGAAATTTTTTATTTTAAACTTAATAACTTGTGGTCTAAGACAAGAGGCCTACTGCGGAGTCAAAAAGAATTGAGGCGCAGTAATGACATAAAGTACCACTAAGTTCAACGATACTTACACAATGTACAAGTAGTAGGTATATACGAAATGGTTAAATAGGAAAGTTTTTTCTGAGCTTCCATATGCATGTGTGGACTTCTTATGTCTTCAAAATTTTATTAATTTTTCGAGTACGCAGTTTTGCCTACAACGATTTTTTTACTAATGAGCACGTAAAATTAACTCTTAAACTGGAATGAATAATTTTATTGGTGCCGGCGAGGATTGAACCCGGGAAGCTCGCGTTTTACGGCAGCTTTTCTTGAGCTACCCCAGCCCTTAAAAGTATGAAAAAAATTTAATTGATACGATACCGCAGTATTGTTTCGATATTTTATTCACATTTAGACACTCCAAACGTTGCTGAAATAGAGATGTAGGATTGTATTTTACAACTTTCGAAAAGCGGTTCACGCATGCGCTGTTACATCGTTCCTTTGCCGTCCTGTGAAGTTAATATGAAACAGTTTGTAGCGGGACGTGAGCGGAACCTTTGCTGCTACGCGCTTGCTACGTGAGAGACGCGATCTCCGTTTTATAATTTGTGAAAAGTGTAATAGGAGAGGAAGTCTAAGAAATCTTAAAAATCGATGTTATGCTTGACTTAAGAATTATTTAGTGACAATGGGCTGCATGAATGTAGTGATGTGGTTCACGAGATTAAAGTTGATTGTGTTGGGAGTTTCAGTGTTGTTCGAATGTACTAACTCTGTGGGTGAGTAATAAAAATAATGTAAAATTTTTTATTGTATTTTAAAATAACAACTGCAACTGCTCAGGAATGTGATATTGCATCTCACACCGAGCCACCATACTAGCCAACCAATAGAATGAATAATAACATTTAGTAATACATTTTATCAAGCTGAATTAATTATTTATATTTTTTTATAAAATTCTAAACATTTTATAATTTCCGAATGCATAAAATAAACTTACAAATGATTTTCCATGTACTACAGATTCGTTACTTAGATTATGTTCGATATAATTGACTGAAATAAAATATATCTAATGCAACAAAATAAAAAATAGAACTACGTGTATACCATCGTCGGCGTCTGCTTTTTTGAATGTCATCTTCAACAATTAGATTGTTGTGAAAGGATATTTCATTCCAAACTAAGTGTAGTACGCACTTGAACACAATTGTCCACCGTGTTTGCGGACGTTACATTGCCTAACCCCACAGGTTCCTAACGATTTTTTTCTTTAGCACCTACCTACCTCTTGGTAAATAAGCACTTTAAACTGAAATCAATAATTTCATCAGTTTTGGCGCGGATTGAACCCGGCTTGTCCGCCTATTATGAATAATACTTATTAAAAGTCATTTGAGCTCTACCACTGGACCGGAAAAACCTCTGTCCTGGGAAGAACTCTTGCTGGTCCTTACGGGACTTTTTTTAAATTAATTTACATTTACTACTACTGTCCTCTAGACCGAATTTCGGCCACGGCGGCCTGCCTCAACGGAGGCTAGCCATCGGCGCATGACAGGACTATAGTGCGTGCCTCTTTTTCCCTCACTCTCATAATCCGATGGGACGATAAACCGACATGACCAGCGAGAGATCAGGCGCAGGATCAACGGCTTTACGTGCTTTCCGAGGCACGGAGGTGAGACACCACCAACTTCCTGACTACGGGAAACTACTGAGAATTTTTTTTTGACGGAAAAACTCAATAATTAATTTTGGCCCGACCCGGGATTCGAACCCAGGCCCTCATGATCGGCAGTCGCACTACTACAGCCACTAGCCCAACGAGGCAGTCTCATTTACATATAATATAATTTTAAACAACTAAGAACGTGAGGGTTATCATGATCATGATGTACTCTTTTGTAGTGTAATAACCTTTATTTAAATAATCCCTAACTTTTATTTTTTGCTTTTTGATAGATAAGTCATGCGTTTTTTCTATGGCTGTTGTAAGGACATATACATTGCCCCATAAAGAAATTACTGACTATTTGGGCAGAGTAACTGGAATGTACGCAGATCGCTTAATATTTTAGCTACCGTGGTTCGTTACATATACACCATAATAATACTTAATGAAAAATCATTTCTTAAAATCTCAAGATGATCTTTCTTTATTTTCTGCAAGTGGCTAATAAATTTTAAGGTCCGATAGACAGTGACCACCTATCAAATCACTTTACTTACTTTCTATCAAATCAATAGTAAATAACATTAAAACTACTTAATTATTACAAATACAGAGCGTGTCATTTATCAAAGTACCTTTAAAAATCGAAAGCTTCCCGAATAATGAATATTCGATTCCCACTCGATTCAAGAGGAGAGCTCGATTTAATCAAAGGAAAAATAAGATTAGGTGAAGCAGTTTATCACAAAGCATTTGTGTTCTGCTATAAGACGGTACTTGAAAAATAAATAGGCACCAAAATATAGAAGAACACTTTTCGTATATACCTATCTAGTTATAAATCTCTACGAAGTTAAACTATGGTGCGGCTTTATTATTATGGCTTCAGCACAAATGGGTCGGCTTGACCGGGGAAGAACCACGCTCGTACAGAATACTAATGTTCAATAGAAAGGTAATACTATTGTATTTTTATGGACAGAACCGGAGATCTTTTTCACTGTTTTTTTTTGGTACACCAATGATACGAAACATTTATATGGTTCAGATAACATAAAAGTGACAAATCAGCGTTCATTCTAATGACAGCAACCACAGCATGCAAAAAGTGGACAGGAAACAAATATAAATTAAGAAATGAAAAAACTCTAAAGAAATAGATATTATTAAAAGCTAATATAATTTTAGCACTTGCTGAGGTCTTAGAACCGTGAAAGATGTCGAACAATTCACGAATATTGTTATAACTATTGGGTCCTTACATATGAAATTATCGTTTTGTAGTACTGACCACTTTGATCTTAAATATCTCCCCTCTGAAAATTCTTAAGAATTCCAAATTCATTTAGCTAGTACACTTGAGTTTTGAAAACAGTCATTCATTTGTTTTTTTTTCTCATTATTTTTTTCTTTGGCGTCGTTTATTACCGCACAATGGAAAACATGAAATATCGGTATATTTACGATTACGAGTTCTACCGTGGCATTAGTGCTGCAGAAACATCTCTTAGGATTATTAGGATCGCTAGTGTCGCAAAAGAAAGCACGGTACGGTTTTGGTTTCAACGTTTTCGTTCTGGAAATTTCAATCTTGTGAAGCAATCCCGTGGACGGTCGGAGACCAAAGTGGAAAATGAAGAATTAAAGGCTATTGTGGAAACGGATTCATCACAAAGCACTTCAGAGATAGCTGCAGGCTTTGGGGTAAGTGATAAAACTGTATTAATCCACTTAAAGCAAATCAGGAAAGTGATAAAACGTGAACATGCGATGACTTTTTTTATAGAAAAAGGGGCAAACGAGCATGCGGCTCACCTGAAATTAAGTGACTACCGCCGCCCATGATCAACCGCAACACCAGGAGAATTGCGGGTGCGTTGCCGGCGCTTTAGAAAGGAGTAAGCTCTTTTCTTGAAGGTTACCAGGTCATATCGGTCCGGAAAAATCGCTGGTGGTAAACTATTCCACAGAAAGGTTGTACGTGGAAGAAAACTCCTTGTGAAACGTACAGTGGTGGACCGCCAAGCATCCAGATGGTGTGGATGGTATCGGGACGTTTGCCGTGTAGTGCGTTCACGAAATTTGGCGGTTGGGATTAATCCGAACAATTCCTCAGAGCACTCCCCCGTGATAGATGCGATAAAATATGTAAAGAGATGCAACATCTCTTCGCAGCGCCAGTGAATCGAGCCGATCGGAAAGCACTCGGTCGTCGACAATTCGAGCCGCTCTGCGCTGGATGCGGTAAAGTGGAAGGAGCTGGTACTGGGGAGCCCCAGCCCAGAGATGGGAACAGTATTCCATGTGCGGCCGAACCTGCGCCTTGTAAAGTTGCAGGCGGTGTGCCGGCATGAAATACTGTCCCGCTCTGCTGAGCACGCCAAGTTTTTAGAGGCCAATTTGGCCTTCCCTTCCAAGTGACCACGAAACTGCACGTCACTCGATATGTCGACGCCGAGGATTCCGATACTGGCTGAGGCAACAAGGGGAATGCCTTGAAACTGAGGGGATACGACAAAGGGGTTCTTTTTAGCGGTTAACGCGCAAACTTGTGTCTTCTGGGGGTTAAACTGGACTAGATTTAGTCGTCCCCAGTCCGAGACTCTGTTCAGCAAAGGCTCGACTTCAGACACAAGTTTGTCCCGGCACTCGGAGACGTTTTCCCGAGAAATATTGGCTCGGCCGGTGTAAAGAGCATCACCAGTGCTGTCATCTGCGTAGCAATGAATGTTACAGGTATGCAACATATCATGGATATGCAGAAGAAACAGCGTTGGCGATAGCACGCAGCCCTGTGGAACACCAGCATTAATTGGCTTGCAATCGGAGCTTGCACCGTCTACAACGACCTTGATGCTCCGATCTGCAAGAAAGCTGGTGATCCAATCGCACAATTTCTCGGGAAGCCCATAGGAGGGGAGCTTCGAAAGAAGCGCTTTGTGCCAAACCCGATCGAAGGCCTTCGTTATGTCCAAACTAACGGCCAATGCCTCCCCCTTGGACTCTACCGCCTCCGCCCATCTGTGAGTTAGGTAGACCAGAAGATCTCCAGCTGACCGACCACGGCGAAAACCGTATTGGCGGTCACTAATCAGCTGGTGATCCTCAAGGTACCTCATGAGCTGGCAGTTTACAATGGACTCCATTGTTTTGGAGAACAAGGAGGTGATGGCGATTGGCCGGTAGTTGGACGGGTCAGAGCAGTCGCCTTTTTTAGGGATCGGGTGGACGTAAGCCGTCTTCCATGATTTTGGGACTACGCCTAGGGAGTAGGAGTACGGGAAAAGATGCGTTAAAACCGGTGCCAACTCTGGAGCACACGTCCTCAGCACAATTGGGGGGATTCCGTCAGGCCCACTCGACTTGTGGATGTTCAGGGAGAGGAGTGCTTTGCGAACCGAGCACTGTGTGAAGTGCACTTCCGGAATGGAGCACTCACACCGCAGGATGATCGGCGGCGTACTCCCCCCGTCATCGAGAGTCGAGTTAGACGCAAAGAAAGAGCCTAGAAGATCGGCTTTCTCCTTTGCGGTATGGGCCAGTGAGTCGTCCTACCCGTGCAGAGATGGAAGAGATGGCTGACAGAAATTCCCCTGGACAGCCTTAGCGAGAGACCAGAATACTCGGGTTCCAGAAGGAAGGCGAACTAGTTTCTCGCCAATTCTGCCTATGTGTTCTGCCTACTTTGCCTTGGCAATGACTCTTTTTAAAGACCTAGAGGCGGAATTATACTTCTTTTTTAGAGCGCTGGTGTTTACATCCCGGGACGCTGATGCATCAGCCCAGGCTTGGTAGCACTCCTGCTTATAGCATGATGCTATTTTACAGGAGCGACCAAGCCATGGCTGATATTTGCCTCCAATGGGCACCACAGAGGAAGGAATAAAAAGTTCCATACCCTGAAGTACCACATCAGCAACAGAATCCGCAACAACGTTGGGATCATCCGGCGAGAAGAAAACCCGCCCCCAAGGGTAGGATGCAAAGAAAGACCGCATCCCATCCCAATCGGCTGACCTATAGTGCCAAACACGGCGGCAGCCTGCAGAATGCAACCGCGATTTCAGCGTGAGTGGCACAACCCTCCGGACCAGACAATGG